TGTGTCTTATGAAGACCTCCAGTATGTCAGCTGCCTCTTGCCCATGTGGCCCAGTCGATGTAGTATCACTGACGTGATCGATCAATGTGATGTCCTGCAGGATACCCAGATGCTCCACATCCTTTTGGACTATATTATTACAAAGGACAGGAGAGTTAACGTAGCCCTCGTGGAAAAGTATATCCATTACATGCGAATATAAACTGTTTCTGATCCTATTTTCTATTAGAAATAGAAAAAATAAACAAAAAAGCATTTGCCAAATCAATGAGGAGATACCATGGCTGCACTATCATCTTTGAAGTTCACTCACTCTATTAAGTCCTGGGCTTGGTCCTTGGCTTCTCGTCACCCTCAGATTTCAGAAGATGAAAGCTTCTCTCTATACAGTCAAAGAGACCTCTGCTTTCACCTCTTGTTTTCCACTGCCTAATGTCCCCATCTGTTCCTAATCTTTCTGCATATAACTGTGCACATATTAATAGAAATAGCCATCACATCTCTTTATGCAAATAACTACTATTTTCCCCATTAATGTTCTACACCTGAAACAAAGAGCCCTTCCACCAGTGTAACACCCAATGACATCTCCTGTGTGGCAGTTTTAACAACTGACCTGACTGTGATCTACATACTAATCGTGATGGGGTCCTAACAGCCAACAGAGTGATGAGCAATCCAGCTCCAAAGTCCCATTTCCTGCCTTCCCTGAACACTCCAAGTACTTGCCCACTCTAGTAACTGTCCCAGGTCAGAATCTCCAAAGGCAAAGTCTGAAACAGGCTTGGCGTTCAAGATATCCACCGGGGATCAGTACTGTGGAAGGGGCGAGGAGAGAACAGAGCTGGGCAGGAAAAGAAGCTGAACTGTGACACAGGCTCAGTGAGACATGGCAGAGTCTTGGACCAATAAGCTGTGAGCTCTGAGAGCTCTGGAATGCACATTGTCGATCAGAGCTGTCCTGTGTTGTGCCAAAGTGTTTGGACCTTTATCCTCCATGTCACTAAGTCAGTGGATGCAGACACCCAGGAAAGGACATGCACTGGTCCCAGACGCTTTCTGCTGAGGCAAACCCCGAAGGAGCTGAGAGCTTCAGGCTGTCTGCTGGTGCACAGCTGGACAGCATAGCAACCCCTCGTGAAGAGAGACCTGGGCAGAGGATGTCCATGGTTACCATATGCCACCAAAGATTAAAGATAAGTTCATAAACAGCCCAGTGGATCACAGGTCTGTGGTAAACATCAGATGCCATGATTAATTAATTTTGTTTATGGTCACTGTTTTGAAAAACAGAGTAGGTGACAGTTACAAGGGAAAAGATCAGAGGAGGTCTCCTGACTGTGTAGGGCCCCAGGGATGAGTTCTGCAGTCAGAAGCACACAACAGATGTAGACTAATCCTGACTGAGAGGGTGGGATGTTATTATTCTTTTTTACCAAAGAAGACTTTAGGGCTCAGGGTGGCAATGTGACTTGTCTAGTGACACATATTGGAAACTGGCAGAATCAAAATTTGAACTCAGGATTGCTGTCTTCAAAGTCATCAGGCTTTTCTCTTTGCTGTCCTCAAAAACAATAAAAAGCCCATGCAAATCTTTGTTTTTTTACATATATTATGGAATTTCATTAAACAATGTGACCCCCACCTTTCTTCTATGGTAGGTAGAAATCGTTAGTCCCATCCATGTTCAGGAAGTTCCGCCATTCCCAGGACAGAGTAAAAGTGCCATGCTTTCCTATTGCTAATGCTCCGGACGCCAGAAAGGAAGGGCCAGAGGGGCAATTCCCAGATAGCCACCAGGGATTTTGTGAGAAAAGAAGAGAGAATGTCATTGATACAGAGAGCAAAAGAAGCTGGGGAGGTAGAAAAGAAAGGCAGTGAGAGAGGATACACGCCCCCCGGGACAGACGGTGTACCTGGGAGGGAAGGCCGGGCCACTGCAGGGGAGGTGCTGGCAGTGAGGGCCATGCGGAGGGGAGGACTCTTGGAGGACATGGAGCACAGTGCCTTATAGAGAGGGAGGCTTGTGTCCTTGGCACCCTGGGTGATTCCAGTGACAGTCTGTGATTTGGGCGAGACCGCAGCTGAGCACGTGGGTGGCACTAAACGGGAGCAGGGGGGTAGCTCTAGCGCCCTGTGCAGACCTGGGCAGTGGTCAGTGGGCACCAGTGCCACCTTCTAACCAGTGCCCCTTAGAACAGGGGTTCTTTTCCAAGACAGGCATGAGTCAAACATATTTATTCATCATAAACTTAATTAAAATTCATCAACTCTTAAGCAAGTAGTACTAGCAAATAACAACTGGAAATTTAGAGTTTAAAAATACCCTTTACATTTTAAAAATGCCCTTTTAGCAACATCTCAAATCATTAAAATCATAAGAAAAGCATTAATAAAATGTAAATAAAATGTATACACCAAAACTACAAAGTGTTGTTGAGAAATTGAAGGCCAGATTTAGCTATAAAGTTAATGAAATTCCAGTCACATCATACTAGGGATTCTTTCTGTGAAACTTAACAAGCTGATTCTAAAATTGGTATAGAAATGTAAAAACCTAGGCTAGTTGAAACAAGCTTGAAAAAGACAAAGTTGGAGGACTCATATTAGCCAACTTCAAAATCTAGTCTAAAGCTACGATGATCAAGGTGGTGAAGTACTGGTGCAAGAGGAGACATATATATAAATGGAAATTTACCTTGTTGAAAAAGATGCAAAGACAATTCAATGTGGAAAGAATAAACAAAAAGGCCAAATGCTGCTACACCAACTGGAAATTCATAGTGGATATCCATATGAAGGAAAAATCTCAACCTTACCTTACAATATACACAAAAGTTAATCCAAAATGGATCATAAACAGGTCGGGCATGGTGGCTCATGCCTATAATCCCAGTACTTTGGGAGGCCAAAGAGGGAGGATTGCTTGAGGCCAGTAGTTCAAGATCAGCCTGGGCAACACTGGGAGATCCTATCTCTAAAAAAAAAAAAAAGATTAGCTGGATGTGGTGGCACATGCCTGTAGTCTAGCTACTCAGAAGGGTGAAGCAGGAGGATCTCTTGAGCCCAGGAGTTCAGGGTTACAGTGAGCTATAATGCCAATGCACCCCAGTCTGGGAGACAGAGCAAGATCCTGTCTCTAAAAAAAGAAAAAAAATGTATCATAAACAAATGTAAAATCTAAAACTATAAAACTTTTCAAAGAAAATACAGGAGAAAAGCATTGCACCTTAGGATAACAAAGATTTCTTAGCTAGGGTATAAAAGGCAGAAATCATAAAAGAATTAATAAATTGGATTTTCTCAATATTTAAAAATTTCTATTATTAGAAGGAAACTGTTATGGAAAAAAAATTGCAATACATATATCTGACATATGACTTGTATCCAGTTATGTAATAAACATATTTTGGTGAACACTTTAGACAGCCCTTTACAAAAAAGGTTTACAAATAATTAATAGTAAATAAAAACATAAAAAGATGCTCAACATTATTTGTAATCAGATAAATGCAAATCAATACCATGGTGAAATATCGCCACATAAACACTAGGATGGCTGTGATCAAAAGACTGAACTACCAAGTATCTGTGAGACGGGAGGCAGCTGGAACACTCACCCATAGCGGATGGTGGTATAAAATGATGGCTGTTCTGGAGAACTGCTTAGCAGTGTTTTAAAGATGCACAAATAATTTTACCAAGTAACTCTATTCTCAGGTATTCACCCATGAAAAATGAAACATATTTCCACACAGACATTTGAGCACCAATGTTTGGAACATCTTTCTTTGTAACAGTGCATGATAGGATGAACAAATTTTGGCATATCCATAACAATGTGATGTTATTCAGAAATTAAAGGAAATAACTGATACAACAACATGCTGTAACAAATCCCCAAATCATCATGTTGAGTGAAAGTAACCAGACAGAAAAGAGTATGATTCCATTTATCTGATCCAGGTGGCAGGAAGCAGGCTAGTCCGCCCCCTTCCAGGTGGGTGGCTGCCTGCCACTGAGGTAGCACAAGGGAACTTTTTGAGGATAATGAAAATGTTGTATATATTGACTTTAGTAGTGGTTATACAGATGCATTCATTGTCAAAACTCATCAAACTGTATAATTTAAATGGATGCATTATATTTTACATAAATTATCCTTCAAAAAATTGACTTTAGAACTTAAGAATCTAACTTTAATACTGTCTACATGACAACAGATACTATAACAAAATTTATATAGTAAATGATAATGGACAGAGAAAGTCTGAAGTAGCAAAATGTATTTACTAGGGTATTGAAGTTCCAGATAGTGGTTGTGAATTTGTAATGTAGGTATTTCCATTTTTATGGTTTTTATATTAAAATAGTTTCACAAGACAAATTTATTCTGTAAAGCCATAGGGTTCCATAACGTGGTTTAAAATCCCCAGCCTAATTAATTCAGCCCTTGGCTCCTCCTCCAGCTCACCTTGTGAATTTTTCTGTCTCCATTCAAATATCTAGATTGCATTTCTGGGTCTATTAAAATTGATTTGCTACAGAATATTTAATGGGATGCAAAATATGTGACTTGTTTATTATTGCATAACAAGTGTGTCTTTAATTTTCCTTTGTCACATCTTCCTAAATATTTTGTTGCTATACTTTGCAAAACCAAGGGAAAAGGAATGCTGGCAACTCTCCAACAAAAAATTGTATAAGATGTCTACTGCTTGTTTGTCTAAGTTGAGGTTGGGATTCCAGCCCTTAGAAGGTGGGTTAAAGTTTTTAATATCAGTGTGTTAACTCTAAAGATCTAAGCAGCTTGCCTCCTGAGCACAGAAAGCCTCTTGGTTAGGAGATGTTAGCAAATCTATTAACAAGGATTTTCTTTTAAATAAAAAAAAGTAAACAGACTTTACTACAGAGGACAGTTCGCAAACCAGGGAGACATGGCCTTCAGTACAACATGAACAGTCAGAGACAAGAGGGGTTTTATAGAAAGTTCCCTCCCGGCTTCCCATTCTGGTCTGCTTATGCAAATGAGGGATGTAGACTTCTTTAGTTCTGATTGGCTGACACTTGTTGAATTCTGATTGGTCGACGCAGGTCATGGTCTATTGGTTGATTGAAGCAGGGTAAACAGAAACAGACGGCTGGGTGAAAGTCCCAGAGTTAATCAGCGTGGGCGTGTTCCAGCGACGCAGGCAGGTACACGTGTGACCTCTAGTCAGCAAAGGCCTGCTGGCTCTGCTTTGGACCCACCTGGAAGGACTGGCTCTTTCCGGTGCACAGAGGGATGGTGGGCAGCAGGCATTCTTGGCTTTTCCTTGGAACTGCTGCTCAGGGCAGCCTGCCCGAGGAGCCCGAGGACGGTGCGAGGGAGAAGAGGCTGCCCGACGCCCTGCGCCTGCCGGCCCATCCCAGCCGGGCGCCGGGCGCCTGGTGCTCACCTTCTCGGGAGGAGAGCCGCTGTGCCCCGGACAGGCCCGAGCACCAGCCTCTCCACAGAGCGGCTGGACCTCACGGGCGCCTTGCTCTCCTGCGGTTCGTCTCCTGAGGGTTCCTCACCGCCTGTCGCTCCCGGCCCTGCTCCCGGGTGTAGGGCGGTGGCCGGGCTGGTCCCTGCGTGTGGGCCTCTGGGCCGCGTGTCGCTCCCGGCCCTGCTCCCGGGTGGGGCGGTGGCCGGCGCTGCCCGGCGTGTGGGCGCTCGGGCTGCGTGTCGGCTCCCCTTGGCCCTGCTCCCGGCGTGTGGGGCCGGTGGCCGGGCTGGTCCGTGCGTGTGCCGCTGGCGCGTGTCGCTCCGACCTCGCTCCCACGGTGTAGGGCCGGTGGCCCGGCTGGTCCGCGTGGGGCCGCCTGGGCGAGTGTCCGCTCCCGGCCCTGCTCCCGTGTAGGCCGGTGGCCGGGCTGGTCCCGGCGTGGCGCCTGGGCCGCGCGTTCGTCCGCGGCTCCCGCGTGTGGGCGGTGGCGGCTGTCCCCGGCGTGTGGCCGCTGGGCCGGTGTCCTCCCGCGCCCTGCTCCCGGGTGTGGGGGCCGGGCTGTGTCCTGCGCTGTGGGCCCTGGCGGGCGCTCCGGCCTGCCCGGTGTCACGGGCGGTGCCGGGCCTGTCTGCGTGGTGAGCGCTGCCGCGGTTCTCCCGGCTTTTCCCGTGTAGGCGGTGCCGGCTGTCCCGGCTTGGGCGCTGGCGCGTTGTCGTCCCGCCCTGCTCCCGGCGTGTAGGGGTGGCGGAGCTGGTCCCCGGCGTGTGGGCGGCTGGGCCGCGTGTCGCTCCCGGCCCTGCTCCCGGGTGTAGGGCGGTGGCCGGGCTGGTCCCGGCGTGTGGGCGGCTGGGCCGCGTGTCGCCCTGCCCGCCAGGGAAAAACGGCCTTCCGCGAAACGGCCCTGGTGCCTAAAGGCTGGGGCCTCCGAAACGCGTGCTGCACTCCACTCAGTGTTCCTCATCTAGTTCGGACCCCTGCAGTCTGGCTGGAACGCTTAAGCATGCCTTTACTAACAGTTCAGAGAAAGCACAAGAAAACCAACACTGTGAGTCATGTGAACACAAGAGGAAGTCTTTATTCTTTTCTCAGCATTCCCTCCCGATCTGTCTCCTCAGAGGTGCTGCTTATTTGGGATTTTCTATGTAGACAGTCACGTCGTCTGTGAACAAATACAGTTTTGTATCTTCCTTCCCAATCTGTATGCATTTTATTTCCTTTCCTTGTCCTAATGCTTTAGGTAGGACTAACTGTACCACGGTGACTCAAGAGTCATGAGAGCCTTGTTCCTGATCTTAGGCACAGAGCATTCTAGTTTCTCACCAGTAAGTATAACGTTGGCTTTGGTTTTTATAAAATATTCTCTATCACATTGAGGAAGTTCTCTTCTGTCTGTAGTTTGCTAAGAGTTTTATGATGAATAGGTGTTGGATTTTGTCAAATACTTCTCCTGCACCTATTGATATGATTGTATGATTTTTCTTCTTTAACCTTTTGATGTATGGATCACATTAATTGATTTTTGACTTTGAAATGTTGAACCATGCTTCTATACCTAGGATAAACTCCATTTTATCCTAGTGTATAATTTTTTAATACATTGTTGGATCCAATTTGCCAATATTTTGCTGAGGATTTTTGCATGTATGTGCCTGAGAGATACTGGTCTGTAGCTTTCCTTTCTAATAATGTTTTCATCTGGTTTTGATATTCAGGAAATGTTGGCTTCAGAGAATGAGTGAGGAAGTGTTCTCTATGCTTCCATTTTCTGGACAAGATTGTAAAGAATTGGGATAATTTCTTTCTTAAATATTTGGAAGAATTCACTAGTGAAATCAATTGCACCTGGTACTTTCTGTTTGGAAAATTAGTAATTATTGATTCAATTTCTTCAATAGATCTAGGCCTATTAAGTTTCCCTATTTTCCTTTGTGAGTTTTGGTATATTGTGTTTCTCAAAAAAATTGGTCCATTTTATAAAAATTATCATAATATTCCTTATTATCCTTTTATTGTTCTTAGGATTAATAGTGACTGTCTCTCTTTTATTTCTGATATTAGTAATTTGTGTCTTCTCTACTTTTCTTAGTTACCCTGGCTAGAGATTTATCAATTTTATTGATCTTTTTGAAAACCCCTCTTTTGGTTTTATTTTCTGTATTGAATTTTTGTTTTCAGTTTTATTTATTTCTGCTCTAATTTTTATTGTCTATTTTCTTACCTTCCTTAAGGCTTATGTTGCTCTTTTCTCTAGGTTCCTAAGGGAGAAGCTTAGATTATCAATTTTAGATATTTCTTTTTTCTAATATATCCATTTAATGCTATATATTTTCCTCTAAGCACTGCTTTTACTGCATCTCACAAATTTTGATGTTTTATTTTCATTTTTATTCAGTTCAAAGTATATTTAAATTTCTCTTGAGACTTTTAAAAACATCTATGTTATTTTAAACTGTGTTGTTTAATCTCCAAGTATTTTGGCATTTTCCAGTTACCTTTCTGTTATTAATTTCTATATTTCATTGTGGTCTCACAACATACTTTGTATGATTTTTGTTTTTTAAATTTGTCATGATGTGTTTTATGGCCATAAATGTGGCCTATCTTGATGAATGCCCATGTGAACTAATGAAGAATGTGTATTCTACTGTTGTTGAATAAAGTACCCTATAAAGATCAATTACATATAGTTTGTTGATAGTGCTGTTCAACTCAACTACATCCTTACCGATTTTCTGCCTATTGGATCTGTCAAGTACTAATAGAAGGATGCTGAAGTCTCCAACTATTATAATGAATATTTCTACACTTCTTTGTCCTACTATCAGTTTTTGTTTTACCTATTTTGATGCTATGTTGATTATCATATACACATTAAGAATTGTTATATCTTCTTGAAGAACCGACTCCTTTATTATTATGTAATTCCCCTCTTTAACCCTGATAAGTTTTCTACAGGGGCTTCTTAATGTCACTTTTGTCCAAAACTAATTACTTTGGGTTTCTTTTGATTTGTGTTAGCTTGGTATATCTTCCTCCCTCCATTTACTTTTAATCTGTCTTCAGCTTAATGTTAAAATTGGGTTTCAAGTAGGCAACATATAATTGGGTCTTATTTTTGCATCCACTTTATCAGCCTCTGTTTTTTATTTACTGTGTTTGGACCATTCACATTTAAAGTGATGATTGTTACAGCTGGATTAATAACTACCATATTATAACTGTTTTCTATTTGTTGTTCTTCATTTCTTTTTCATCTTCCTCTTTTTCTGCTTCCTTTCATTCTAATTGAGCATTTTATAATTCCATTTTCTCTCTTATTTTAGCATATCAATTATACTTCATATATATATATATATATTAGTGGTTATCCTAGAGTTTGCAGTATATATTGACAACTAATTTAAGTGTACTTTCAAATAATAAAATACTGCTTCATGGATAGTGCAGGAGCTTATGACATTCTTTCTTCCCATTATTTACATGTGGCTATCTTCCGTTTTGCTCATCCATAAGCTATCCAATACATTGGGCTATTATTATTTTGAGCAGTTATCTATTAGATAAATAAGGAATAAGAAAAATAAAACATTTTCTCTGTTTTCTTTTGCCTTCCTTAACACTTATTTTCCTTATGTAGAACAGGTTTCTGATCTTTATTATTTTCCTTCTGTCTGAACAATTTCTTTGTAACATTTCTTGCAAGGCAAGTCTACAAGTGATAAATTCCCTCAGATTTTGTTTGAGAAAGTCTTTATTTCTCCTCCACTCTGAAACATGATTTCACTGGATACAAATTTGTAGATTGGTGGGATTTGATTTTCAACATTTAAAAATCACTCCACTTTCTTCCTGCTTGTATGGTTTCTAAAGAGAAATCTGATTTAATTCTCATCCTTGTTTCTCTATGGGTAAAGTGCCCTCTGTCTGTAGCACCTTCTAGAAGACTGCGGGAGCTCTGCTTGCTACTGCCAGCCTCCTGCAAACACTGTACCAAAGAGATAGTAGACAATGTATAAAATGCATTGCCTTATTTGTCTGTTTATCCCTGCACAGAGAACACACTGGAAGAGTCCCAGCACCTCTTCAGCTGCCAATCTCTCATAGCCTCCAAGGGATAGCCCTCCTTCAGTGGATTCCTGCCCTACCTAATTTCCAGCTCTTTTCATGATTATTACCTCTTGTATTTCAAAGCTACATCTTGTCTTTATAACATTAACTTCCATTCATGCACATTTCCATCCATCAAATTGGATATTAACAGTCCCGCTCATATAAACAATAGAGAAAATGATCTTGTTATGCCTTAAAAAGTTGGAAAAAACCCTCAAAAACTGAACCCTTGTTGCAACTTGGCTTAGTGTAATTCACCGAGAAGCCCCTTATCCCACAATATACAGGCATTCCTCAAGGATATTGCAGGTTCAGTTCCAGACCACTACAATAAAGTGAATATTGCAGTAAAGTCAGTCACACTTTTTCTTTTTGATTTCCCAGTGCATATAAAAGTTATATTTACACAATATTTTGGTTCATTAAATGTGTGAAAGCATGATGTCTAGAAAAGGAATCTCTGTACCTTAATTTAAAAATACTTTATTGCTAAAAAATGCTAATAATCATCTGAGCCTTTAGCGAGTTATAATATTTTCACTGGTGGAGAGTCTTGCCATGATGTTGATGGTTGCTGATTGATCATGGTAGTGGTTGCTGAAGGTTGGGGTGGCCTTA